GACTTCTGACGGTGGCAATTTTTCATTGTAAGAAGGAAGCTCAACATTCGAGAGACGAACCTTTGTCACAAGGTTTTCTGTTTGTGGTGCAACTCAAGGCCACGTTAGACGAGGAGTGGATGATAAGGAGGAATCAGTCGTAATTGTTTTGTTGATTGAGTTGTCTAGTAGTAGTCTACATTCACCTGTTCACTACCACCATAGGTCCAAACGTTGCCTTCTTCGCCGTGAACGTGGAATTTCAGCAAGACGGTATTGCGCATGCTCGCCGATCAAGGCGTTGAGAGGAAAGGACCTTTCCTCTCATCATGATCGGAGTCAGCAATATTTCGCCCGGTACTTAGTCCAACGGTCCTAACTCTCCCCCCGTCTCACACATGTGATGTGCTGGCAATCACCGGCACTCCATATATGGTAATTATACGACTTAGGGCAATGTGCCATTGCCCTAAGTCGGCTCGAGAGCGCGCTACCGCGCGTTCTCGAGCACCTAACCTACCCTAACCTCCTAACCTAACCACTAACCACTAACCTCCTAACCTTCTAACCAAGAACGCGCTACCGCGCGGGGAAAAAAATATCCCCAACCCTAACCATTAATAAACCCTAACCGCTAACCTCCTAACCTCCTAACCAAGAACCAAGAACGCGCTACCGCGCGGGGAAAAAAATATCCTCAACCCTAACCATTAATAAACCCTAAGCGCTAACCTCCTAACCTCCTAAGCGCGCTACCGCGCGAAGAGAAAAACCCTAACCTCCTAACCTAACCAGTTAGGTAATTATTCTAATAATAAAAAGATGTGGAGCGTCCAGAGTCGAACCCCAAACCTTTCGTAAGCATCACTAACACAGTGACAACAACCACTACACTAAACCGGCATATATGTCTAGGGTTTGTTGTGGAATATATCCCCCCACAAGAGGCCTGATTTGTCATAATTTCCCTTTATGGAAATGTGAGACGGGGGGATAATTGGGCTGGCTACTTAGTCCCACTGAGAGGGAAATTCCGTTTTATTCATTCCATCCCCGTACGCTTTTCAACGATATTCTCTCAATAAGTGGGCCACTAACGTTAAACTTCAACAGCTTAGGTTCAATCGGAGAGGTCTGGGAGAGGTTGCGATGTTTGACGAAGCTCGGTTTTGGCTCGTTAGAAACCCAAGCGACGCCGTGATCATTGACTACGCAAATCTTGAGCTACACTCAAATTGACTACCTATTCCCGTGAGGCTTTATGAGGTGGGTCTTCTTCGGGTTTTCTTCAACCAACTCATCAGATTGATCTTTATTACGAAGATTCGCAAGTATTAACTGGATGCCAGTAGCTGAGGTTTCACTACCTCGTTCAAGAGGAGCCGAAGGGCATCAAGGGGAGGCTAATGGATTTACGAAACCTTGGGATGGCTCTTACCGAGATTGTGAGTTCCGCCATGCTCATTCTACTGGCGAAGGTACTTATCCAGAGTTTAGTGTGACACTTTGGCGAACCAAGGTCACTATTGCTATTCTGTGGAAGAGTGCGGGGCGCCTCTCACGACTGTCATGAATGTCAACCCTTTACTACAGAGGATGCGAAGCTCCCTCGGCACAGGGAATCACCCATTTCGCGGAACGTCCGCGCTCGGGCCTACGTTTTGCAGAATCCCTCAGGGAAAGGTCGACATGAGCCTCGTCATCTACAATCGACGCTTGCCTTTCGAGAAATGCCAACGCCAACGCGACTGATCTTGTCGCGAAGCACATTCTCCGTACTGCGCCGTGGAAGTTCGTCGTGTCACGTTCCAGAAACACACCTAGTGGTTAGATTTCAATGCCTCGAAGGAACGGGAACGGGGCGACCTCACAATACGTTCTACCGGTTTGCTTTGAAAGTAAGCCTCGTTACTGGCTTTGTTGTGTATGTGCTAACCTATTATACTAGGTCTTGGCTCCTTCCTGGATTTTCACCTAACACGACCCAACACGTACGCTCTTTTTCCTTGGGTTGGTGGTGCGTATTGGGTTAAACTTCTGATCAACATGTTAAGGAAAGCTTCTGATCATTTTGGCCAGAACGAGTGCTGGCACCTGGAACATCAACTGGTAGCACTGCAACGACATTCGCGGGCATGAACTACGTCGACGCGCATCTTCATGACAACTTGGGATTATTGTCCTCCAGGTGAGCTGGGGCGACACGTCAAAATTCTATCTACTGACTATTCGTTATGCCTACATAGCGTTTGTTTCCATTCAAGTCACAATTTCACTTCCTTCTTTCAATCCAGAAGCATGTCCGCAACTGGGGGCTTCGATTTCATATCTAGGGGTGGCGCCGCACAAATTCCTAACATGCAATCACGAGTCATATCTCATCTTTCACAAAGTTAATGCATGCCGTAGGTTGTGGAGACCGGAGGAGGAGCACACATGGCTCCGCAGCTCGACACTACTTCCTTCAAATGTGACCCGCTCCTCTCCGTAAGTACGCTTTCTAATATTCCCATTTTCTCTCACCTCTAACGTAAGTTGTATCTAGATTATCAACTAGCCGCAACGTAGCCTAGCCAACAGTACGTTCGCAACGGAAAGACCTTGGCGTGCGCTGGCACAATTGTGGAGAAAGTTGGCTACTTTGTGGAAGTTCCAGCCATCATGTGAGCCCTTTCTAAGCACTGGCCTCCGACAGCATGGCGAAAGTCATAGGGCACACCCTGTACTCACTTCGGAAACCCAAATCACCCTTTGTTATTTTCCGCGGACGCTTCTCGAGGCGATCCCCACCTCAACCCCCTTTTTGACGACGGTCATGAACAACTGATGACACTACTAACCTTCTGTTCTGTGCTGTGAATGTAAGGCAGAGGCCTGTACGGGTTCAATGTCGCGTCTTCCTCGCTTTTCATTTCAACGGACTCAATCAACCAGCTACTACTGCTCAAGCGCTCGCAGGTGATACCGTCACATCTTCTGACAGTCACACCGAGCGCCTTATCCGACACTATCACTTGAAACGAGGCTAAAATTTCTATTTCAGTCAGTCTTCACCCATGCCTGCCGTGTAAAGCGTGTTCCGAGCGTTAAGCCCCTCCCTTTCACCAAAACCACCATGTCTGCCGCGAGGGGTAGCTCAACGGGAAGCCCTAGCATTGAGATTACAGGTAACCTCCCAGGTTTTTGCCCCCAGGTCAAATATCTGACACCCATTGACTAGAAATCCGCGTTTCATCCCAGCACATCCTCAAATCGGTCCAACTTTCGATTGGATCGTTCGAGCGGGAATCATCTTGTCTCCTGAATGCAAAGACCCACAACTTTGAGTTGTCATCCCCCTGGTGAGCCGATGATCATGTGTAGCATTGGACGACAAACCCAGTCAAAGCAGTCAACTTTCGCCTTCAGAGTCCCTCTATCTGCAAGTCCGATTCCGCGGATTGTTTCGTGCTGCGTCGAAGAGCAAGATACCTCTCGATGAACTGCTAAGCAAGGTCGGCCCCCACTTCTCCGGAAAACAAGGTAAGGGCCTCTCTTTTGCAATTGCTCCTGTCTTGCTGATGCAGGACTTTCTACTCTAGAATGGTCAAAATCATTTGACAAGTTCGATGTCGTCCTGAAGTTTAGCCAATACGCAGGCGTGTGTGCACTTCTTCCTCAAACCCAAAAGCGTCCGCCTGGTGCGGGTGCTATCGATCTTAGAATGCTTTAACCATGGCAGAACCTCCGACGAGTGGCCACCTACAACCCACAACGGATGAGTTATTCAAGTTGGTCGAACGGTTAGTCTGCTTAATCCCCGACTACTCTGACTAAACCTTACCGCTAGGTTCCGAGTCCTGGTCATCGGCAAAGTAGCTCTCTTATACCTCTATTCTCAGATATTAGCTTACAGTTTGTTTTTACAGAGTGGTGTAGGGAAATCTTCCCTTATCAACGAATGCTTCGGTGTCAAGGATGCTGTGAGGTCATTTCCCCGTCTTCTCAAGATCCGCTCCTAAAGCTTGTCCTTCCCCAGACCGTGGCTCATTCAGAAGCTGGCGTGTCGGATATCAGTACTGAGATTATATCCAGCGAAAATGGAAGATTTGTTCTGCACGACAGCAAAGCGTGACTTAATCATTCAATTCCCTGTGTACTTTGTTGTCTATGTACACATGCCATAATCCGAACGAAAAGAAGCCAGTGAAATGAACTTGTATAGGACCAAGAGATGGTAATATGGAGGATGTACACGAAAGGCAGTAACGCAGCTCACATTCAATGCGGGCTCCTTCAGCTTGTACAATGCCCTTTCCGGAGTTTCCCTCATGTAGCTCTCGACCAAAAATGTCTCCCTTCTGCACGCGCCAGATGACATAGTTGAAGAGCCCTTAGGGTAGCAGTCCGCTGATTCGTGTTACGACCGAGTGAATAGAACATCGTAGTCGAAAGACGAGTATCGACTGTAGATGAGGTATTTGATGAGTTCATCGACCGCTGTGGGAGATTGTTGCTGGTTCTGTGGGTGTTCGCTGGGTGTTCGTCTGGTGATCGTTTTGGTAGATTTGTGTGACCGCGCCTCTTTCCTCCATGCACCTTCCTCAAAGGTCACAGATTCAGCTATGGCGGAATGCGCAAATGACAGCGACTTCTCGAGGAAAAATAACTCATTGAAAGTCGCAACCCAGGGAGCTACCCAGGTTTGAAGCACGTCGTTGCATCCCTCTGGAAGCGGACTTTCTCTACGGCGGATCTTGAAAGTCGCAGGTTAGATGTCATTCGAATTTACGGTAAGTGAGCTCTTATGCTGTGCACCTGCAAACGAGAATGATTGTGACCTTGCAAGCGGAAAATGCTGTACGTGATCACACAGCGATTGTAGGGCCGATCTGTGCAGGAAGGGTTTATGGAAATGCGACACAGGCATAGACAACGTACCACTTGCGATTCCGACTTCAATCCAATTCAAGTTCTAAATGTGAAGGTTTTGTAGGGGTCCAGACGTTCTACCAACCAGAATATTTTGTAACTGGTGGGGTGGTTGCACCAAAATCGATGTTCCATTTTATGTTTCCCGTTGCCCTAATAGAATAGCCAAGATGAGTATACATGGTTCGTACATCAAACTCGACCCACCCAACCGCACAGAGCAGCTTCTTCCGTTCCGCGCTAAGCAGCACCGCACGTCTACGTAGCTCTGGGCACTGGATTTGAAACTGGCGGTGAGAAACCCAAAGTGGGTCACTGACCAGTCCGTCACGGTCTTGAACAGTGAGGAACGCTTTTCTGGCAGCCTGAAAGGTAACTGATCGATAAATCAGATATGAAGACCTCCCGTCGATGAGGGCTTACCATCTCAGCACGTTGAACTGTCCCGACCATTGAGTGTCGTGACCGTCGTCGTAGTCTTGAGTCTGTTATTCTGGTAAACACACAGGGTGAGAGCGGATATAACAGACCCACCTCGACTTGAAACGTCGATGTCCTGCTTGTAATCTATGACAGCGTTGAGATGCACGAGTTTGCCCCCTCTTATTTGACACGTCATTTTGGTGAAACACTTCAAAAAGGCGTAGGCCCTTACATACGACGGTTCCGCAATCTGAGCCGATCATAGGCGTCGAGTTGTACATCCCTTCAGTGGTGAACATTTATCGCGACTGACTATCAGAGAGTTTGAGAGTTGAAGTGTTCTCTCTCGAGAATGATCAGCTTCCTACGAGGTGAAAAGCTCGAGAAGAAACCTACTATTCCCAATGTGTCTTGTAATACAGGAAAGGGTGCTCGGTTTTGAACCTGGGCCCCCACAAACATTGCCACTCTGGAGAAGGTGACGCCGAAGAGTGCATTGCTGGCGGCCTCGATGTCCGCGAGACGCACAACTTCACTTTTTGATTCATAATTAGATTAAGAAGTTCATGTAAAACCGTAAGACCTTACATGGCACCAGTTTCACACTTGCCATATGAACCGAGGGCCAACTTTTGTGAGGGAAGGATAATGTCCCGCCCAGTAGTCAAGAAATCAGATGGTGGTGAACGCCACGATGTCCTTGACGGCAAGAACAGTCAGCTTCAGAGAAGACGCGAAGCGCAAGAAACAACTCACCCCGAAGGGCGCAACACACACACTTGAGGCCACCCTACTCTGCACCGACGTCACTGTCTACAAAGCCGCAGGCTCATAAAGGTCCTTTATCTCTTTGAACCCATACTCCTTCCCAAAAATCTCACGGGGCCAGAAATACAGTTGCTGATCGACATCTTCACAGAAGTCATGGAGGCCCATGGAGTTTGAGAGTAGGAGCTGGGGCCTTCCTCATCGAGGCTGAGAAGATGCGAAAGAGGCCTTCACCCACGAGGCCTGGGAAGTAGTGCCAATACAGGTCGTTTTCAGAGATGGTGGAGAGGTAGATGGAGCTGGTGGTGGCTGCTTTGTGGGCAGTCTGCGATGCTACTTTCCCTTGTTCAGAATCCGAAGTGGGGGGGGCGGTCGAAGACGAATTGGACAAGGCCGGTTGAAGGCGAATTCACCGTAGCAAGAGCGAATGGCACCGTCGAAGAGGAAGTCGACGTCGAAGAGTCCAAAGGGGGAACAACGCCCATACCATGCACGATACACTCCTGCAACGGTTCAACGGACGAACATGGTCCGCATCAACATTCCTCCCTCTCCTTCGTATCTGCCATCCGAGATTGGGCTTGAGAAGCACAATGAAACGATGATACCCAATTCCGAGTGATTATATGCGTATTGCGTGGAGTAGAGGTTGTATCCCAAGTCCAACTTTGTGAATCTCAACTTCCTTTCACGTCAATCAGGTCCACGGAAACCTCCTCACCGGAAGCCTGGAATCAAGCACAACATCCTCAGTAGCGTGCTGTACCCACTCAGCATCGAACATGTCGATTCTAACAGTGGAGGAAGGACTTCGCGCAACGATCACGCGGAAATGACGAGGCAGAGTTTATGTTGTCCGGGGCGTAGAGGGAAGTTTGGATGAGGGTCTGGGTGAAGGGTCGATAAAATTTGAAGTGGAAAAGAGGCAGTTGAGGCGGAGGACGCGGGAATCGAAGTGGAACGGGGGATTGAGGTGGAAGGAAAACTTTGGATGATTGGAAGGGCCGGGACGGGAGTCCCTCAGCCATGTGTCTTCTTGCATTCTCCATTTTCTGTCCCTGGTCGTCACTCCGCGTTATTTGGCCCAAGATAGGCTACGTCCTCGTGCGGCTTTGGCTGGTAGAATCGAGGTCGCGTCCTCTCTCATTCTACAGCAGCATCACTGCGTGCAGACAACTTTCTCGAACAGCGGCATGGTGCCAAAGCAGAGGCAGTTGAAACCTCACTGAATTCTCGACAAGGGTGCTTTGATTTGATTCTCATATTATGACTGGCACTAGGTCGGCCATGTAAACTCGAATGGCGGGATTAGGATCCGGAGGGGCGAGGAAGTGTGGGGAAGGGTCGAATCCATACGATTATGGTGGGTTTCTGTGGGGGGTTTCGCATAGTGCTTCAACGAGTTCTGGTTTACACCGATGTATTGGTTGTGTATTTCCAGAGTGGTGGCCTGTGAATAGGCCCTTAGCATCATCATGCACTTCTGAGGGTAGCAATTTGACATCAGAAAGAAATCCAAAATTCGAGAGACGTACCTTTTTCGCAAAGCTTTCTGTTTGTGGTGCAACTCAAGGCCATGTTTGGGCCATGTTGGACGAGAAGTGGATACAAGGATGATGAGGAGGACTTGAGGAGGATGAGTGGCGTATTGATGTTTGCGTTGATTGAGTTGTTTAAAAGGTTCACCTGTTCACTACCACCATAGGCCCAAACGTTGCCTTCTTCACCGCGAACGTGGATTTCAGTAAGACAGTATTGCGCGTGTTCGCCGATCCAGGATTCATAGGAGAGAACGGTATTTTGTATTTACGTCATTCTCCTTCCTTTCATGATGGCTATGCCAAGTCAAGAGCTGGCAATGTTTCGCCTTATTCATTCCATCCCAGTACGCTCTTTAACAAAATTATCTCAATAAGTGGCGCTTAACGTTAACCTTAGCTTCAACAGTCTAGGTTCAATCTCAATGAATGGGTGGTAGTCGACGAGCCAGAACTGCCGGTACTCTCCTGAGTCCTCTAGGCTCCCGGTGTAGACAACTTGCAGTTTGGGGGTACGAGGTATCCACTGGCAGGGATGACGGCTGCTGAAATCCTGGACGTTCGAAAAGAAGTCCTGGCGCTCGATTTTCCCAGGTTAGAGCGTATTTGGAGTACGTGGTCCAGGCGAAGCAAGACGAGGAGGGGAGGACTTGGCATCTTTATCCTGATGAAGAATTCCGCCCCGGCTTGGATGGGAACAGGCAAGGTAGCCAACATAGGGTGCGTGTATTGATTTATATGTTGCTACCTACTGATCATATGGGATGTCTAGGAATGATTCAATGTTGCTCTGTTAAAACGCACGATGCATTTTGTACGTCTGCGAGTATGGGTTAGAAACATGTCAACCAAAGATTCCTGGCGTTTCGCTGGACAAAGTATTGATAGAATGACTCCAGAGGAAATCGATACTGTTGCTCCCACTTGCAATCTATTCAAGCCGAGATAGCGATTAAAAGCCAACCGTCGTCGGGTCGATAACGGGTGACTCGTATCGCAACGAGTCCTGGCCACCTTGGAGGGCACGTCCCACAAGCGTTGTTCAGCGAGTCAGACTTTGTCGAATACCATCAACAACTTTTGGGCCATGATATTGCGCTTTGCTTGGTTGAAGACATTCTCGCTGCCTTACCTCGCGACGTGTCCACGTCTTTTGCCCACGGCGGCTTCTTCCCAAACAATGTTTTTTGGCTCGCGATCATTGATTGGGCGACTGCTGGATTCTATTCGGAAATTTGGGAATATGCTCGCATGCACGACCCTATTTACTCGAGCCCTCGCGCGCTTGAAGAAAGAGATTCATCTTTTCATAGCAGCCATGCAGGAGTTGATCAGATGCCGCCCACCATTCCACACGACAA